AGATAGATAGATAGGTAGATAGAGGGATACATGGAGAGATAGAGAGATAGATAGATAGAGAGATAGAGAGATAGAGAGACAGATAGATAGATAGACAGATGGAAAGATAGATATGTAGTTAGGTAGATAGATAGGTAGAGAAAGATAGATAGACAAGCAAACGAAAGAAAGAAAGAACAAACAGATAGAAAGAAGGAAAGAAGGGAGGAAGGAAAGAAAGGAAGAAAGGAAGAATGACGGAGAACAAATAAACAATGAAAAGGAAGAAGAAGAGAAAAAGAGTCAAGAAAAGAAAGAGAAAGAGAACTATATAGTTTTTATATTTTTGAAACTTCCGCCCACCGGCTTCGCCGGCTCTACTGGTAATAAAATCTTAAGCAAATGGAAGTACATGGGCAGGTGTCAACATGCTTGGCTTTGTTTTGGGTACTGGGACCCCATATGGCCTGGTGGTTGGCCACCCATACGCCTCTGACGGGTCGTACACACCCGGAAACCAATTTGTCATACGGGGGTCAAAAACCAGCCATACCAGGTACAAGGTTCCTTTTAACAGGGCTGTCCGTTTTCAGATCCCCCGCCGAAAGTCTAACTTGTGGCCTGACAAAAAAAGGGAGAAAAATGCGGCCGCCCATCGAAGCTCCATGCAGCTTCGGCCTTTCTGCCCGCCCGGCCTGCGTTAGCATGGCTGCCCCCGCCAGGACCCAGCGGTACTCGTTGTCGTCCGGATCCATTCCTCGACCAACCGCCCGCCCGCTGGCCGGGTCTCTCTCGTCGGTGTGGACGAGGGAACCACATGGGTGTGGCGCAAACTTAAACAGGAGGGGTTGCGCAGGTGTTGGTCCATGTTTCCACGTACCAGGATTCCATTTTGGTACCGGTTTTTTGAGCCACAGCCACATGGGCCATGGCAAAATAGAAATCAAGTCCAATCTGGGCAAATGGATTGGCCTTTTTGTTGGATATTTTTAGCTCCAATCAACTCCAAACGGCCTCAACCTGAAAACCCTCCATCTTCCAAGCTTCTCAATGCGCCGATCCTGGTATTGCCCCTCTGGAGACAGGTTCGGGTGGTAACCCAAACAAGTGCTTCACGTATTTTTACCAGGTTTCACCATGGATGGTTTACACACACACACACACACCCGTGAACCCATTGCCAAGCCACGAACGTTGGCCTGGAACACGAAGGTGGCGCCCCGCAGCGAGGTGGAGAAAACAGGGCCTCAGGAAAGACACAAAGCCCAGGTGGAATCCCCAACAGTCACGGAACTTCCTGCAACCCTCCTTTTCAACCCACCTTTTCAGCTGTTGGGGGAAACAATCTGGTTCACAAGTTCATACGGGGATCATTTGGGTTTGCCTCACACCCCCAAAACGCTTTGATACCCGTGTTCCCGATATCAAAATTCGGGCCGGTTCTGCGTTGGTCCACATGCGTGCCACCCTTGGGGACTTGGGGTCATAGAAAAGAGAAGGTATCAAACCCTGGGCTTCCAATGGCCCCAAGACCCAAAAGGGCCATAGGAAGTTCTACCTGGTTTGAGCGAGTCATATTAACACAAGGGCACAAACTCCTATAGCCATTTTGGGGTTCCTGTCAATCGCTGAACAAGGACTCCCGAAACGGTGCCGAATATGAGGCCTGACTCAAACATTCCCCCATGTGTTCAAACATGCAACCCTGCGATTTCCCCACCACTTGGTGAGTTTCTGCAGGCTGAAATGAAATCATGTTCCTAGGCCCTATCAGAAACCAGTACAAGGTTGCAGCCCTCAAGGCATTGGCTGAAGCGCTGGCATCATACTCATATGAGCGTTGGTTTTGATTCCCTACAAACTTGCGTTGGACTTTATTCCCTCTCTCCACTAAATTGGCTTGCGGCCAAAAAAAACGCCGCTCATACTAGGTGGACCTCACTTAATCTGGCTTTTGATACCCCCACAACTCTAGTCAGCGTTTTTCTATTTTTTCTGCGGCCTCCTCTTAAATAGGACAACCCCAGCCCAAATCAACCATGGGTTTAGCAGTTCCAATTGATGGCCGTACATTCACAGGTCAATATTGCTCTGTGCTTCCCTAACACCCCACGTGCAAACTAATGCCAACATCGCTGACGGAAGCTGTAGCCTTCCTTCTGAGTTTGAAACCCCTGTGTCGAGTTAAGGGGAAACCGAAAGTGTCGGCAGAAAACAAATCAAACCGTCTCCAAATGATTGAAAAATACACAGAGATGTGTGTGTGTGTGTGTCCGTGTCCGTGTCTGTGTCTGTGTCTGTGTCTGTGTCTGTGTCTGTGTCTGTGTCTGTGTGTCTGTCTGTGTCTGTGTGTCTGTCTGTGTCTGTGTGTGTGTCTGTGTCTGTCTGTGTGTCTGTGTGTCTGTGTGTCTCTGTGTCTGTGTCTGTGTGTCTCTGTGTGTGTGTCTGTGTGTCTGTGTCTGTGTGTGTTTGTGTGTGTGTCTGTGTGTGTGTGTGTGGGTGTGCGTGTGGGTGTGCGTGTGCGTGTGTGTGTGTGCGTGTGCGTGTGGGTGTGCGTCTGCGTCTCTGTGTGTGTGTGGGTGTTCGTCTGCGTCTGCGTCTCTGTCTGCGTCTCTCTGTGTGTGTGTGTGTGTTTGTTTGTTTGTTTGTTTGTTTGTTTGTTTGTGTGTTTGTGTGTGTGTCTGTGTGTGTGTGTTTGTGTGTGTCTGTGTGTGTGTCTGTCTGTGTATGTGTGTGCGTGCGTTTCTGTGTGTGTGTGTGTGCGCGTGCGTTTCTGTGTGTGTGTGTGTGTGCGTGCGTTTCTCTGTGTGTGTGTGTGTGTGTTTGCGTTTCTATGTGTGTGTATGCGTTTCTCAATGTGTGTGTGTGCATGTGCGCGTGCGTGTGGGAGTTTCTGAGAGCGGTCTTCTTGGTGCTGGGTTAAGGGGAAGCCAAAGCACAAACACTCATTTTGAGGGCCCCTTATTTTGGCACACCAGAAATGCCCAGCTTTAGAGCCAAGGGGCAGTGGTACATAGCGTTCCAGTCCATCTCATCGATATGCACCGCAAAGATGTTGCACACCTAAGATGGCTTCTCATCTCAGCGTCCCCCGAATTGGTGGTTTGGATTGGCGATTTGGTGGTTGAGGAGGGATGTCCATGCACTCTCTACAAGAACCAGGGGTTCAAATCTCAAACCGCCAATCCGAATCACCAATTAGTGGATAATCTCAAAGTGACATGGGTTCAAAAGATAACCTTTGGAGCCACATCTTCAGGAAACCAAGTCAAAAAGACAAGCAAGTGTCAAGAAAGATCAGCCAACCATTCTAGCGGTGTCTGAAAAGATCGGGCCCCCCCCAAATGCTTGGTTTCCTTACGTGTCTTCGGAAAAGCTGCTGTGAATTGCTGTTCCCTCGGGTTGATACGCACTCACGCGAAACATGTCAAGTATTGCCCAGCTGGTGATGAAAACCATATGTTCTGATTTCCTGATTGGATTGAGGCCAAACCAAGGCTCGCACTTGTTCTCTGCCGTTGACATGGTTTTCCAACAAGGTAATGTTGCCCTCACATTAATCAACCACAGATTATTAATGAGGGTGTGCCTGGGTTTAGTGGAGAATCATCACTTTTGGAGGGGAACACCCCCTATTAACAAATTGGGGTTGATGAATCGGATTCATCTGGTGTCAACATTCAGCATTGTGGTTTGGATTCGTGCGAATCGGAGATTTGGGGCGGAATTCTAAAGAGCCCTTTGCCAATTTGCCGGTTCAAATTCCCAAGCCAATCCAAACCAAAAGGGTTACATCCCCCAAGCCCCCTGATCATTTCGTGCTAGGCAGCAGTGCAAGCGCATGACCGGAAAATGAGCGACGAGCGAAGGAGCGGTTGAGACGTATCCGAGTCATCCCTATCTAAAATGGCTTCGGCCCCCGAATTTACCCCGCTCGCGTAGAATTCTTAGACAAAGCGTGCTTCATGTACGGCGGTGCTTGGGATGTGGGCGGGTGTCAATGATTGTCCCTTCAGAAGGACGTAGTTCAGTCGCATGGTCCCTCATATTTAAAAAACGCCAGCAACACAACCCCTGTCTTCGACAACTTCTCACATGTATGGTTGAAGAATTGCCTGCATGAGGAAGTTGAGTGCAACAAAACCTCGGAAGGTCCGCTGCATTTTTCCCTTACAGTAAAGCAACAAAAATATCCCAAAGCTGAATGTGGGAGAACAGGATGCGCCAAATCATGTTCACCCAGCTTGTTTGGGCCCTTCCCCATTTCAGTCGAATCAATTGCATAAGACACACAGAACTACAGATCGCCAATCGCAGTGCTCCCCAGTCCTGCTGGCTACTAACATGCAACCTGACTGAGGGGTCCTGGAAGACCATCTTCCTTCAAAATGCAGCCTCTGGGCAACTCATTCTAAATCGATTCGGCCGCCGAGTCGATCGGACGCTAAGACAAAAGGCCGGCATGGAGGGATGCAAATCCTTCATCTTGCTCTCGGTGATGTAGCCCTGCCGACAAGCCCGAGTGGGCCATGAAAACCCACGCATGGCTCTGGTCATGGAGTCATGGCCAAAAGCAACTGCTGCATGCAAAACACAAATCTTCTATGAGGCTCAACTTGCCAACTGTGAGATGGCTTGCCAATTGAGATTTCCCTTGCTCCACACATCGACGTGGTGGAATACCCAAATGCGCACACCATCTCCCAACTCCCTAAGGTCTCTGCGTGAATCCAACCTAATGAAGCCACGCCCAGTTTCTCATCCTTCGCATCAAATACGTGCTCATCCCAAGGCCACGGATGGGCAAACTTCGGCAGTTGCACTCCCCTCCAAGCTCTTGCTAGGTGGTTTGCTCTACCAAGCGTGTCAGCCATTTCCCCCCGCCTCGTCCTCACCCTTGCCATCCTCCCAGCCGGCACCCTCCAGGAAAAGCCCGTGCACGTTGACGCCCTCGGGAAAAAAAGAGAGCAAAACACGCTAGTAGCAAGGCACTCAGCGAAGTATCCCCAAACACATGTGCCACCATAGGACATAAACCATCAAAGGAGTACATGACAACAATCTGGCTGTCCCATCCCCAACCAAAAGTAGACTACGAGCATTGCCAGTCACTCACATGTTCACCTAGGCCAACGGAATCTTCTCAGAACCTTGAAACTTGCAGAAAACACCCGCTAACGAGCATGAGCCAATGAATGAGCTGCAAGAGTCATGTTTGTCGTACAAGAGGCTTACACAAGGAGACACCACTCTGGAAGATTTGAACACTCCTTTGTGAGAGTACATGCTTGTGGATGCGTCAGCTATCATTTTCATGTCGAACATCAGCGACCTGCTTCGATTCGGGTTTGGAAGTTCAGTACCTTCCCATCCAAGACGGAGCCTCACAGTTTGGATATGGCTTTTGTGGATCCACCCCCGTTGGAAATGCAAAGTGCTAAAGATTACCTTAAAAAAAAAAAAAAAAAAACATGGGGAAGAACTGGTGAAGTCCACAAACAGCCTCTAAACAGGGCCTTCTGAAACTTGCAGCATGTCATAGGCAGATCATTTGACGGGTCCCCAAAGGCAAGCATAATGCACAGATTCGTGAACACTGAGTAAGCTTCAAATGCACAGCTTTATCTGGGCTGCCGTCAGATCCGCCGCTAAAAGTTTAACTTCTAGTTGGCTAAATGGAAATCCCCACTAATCACTAAAAGGCGCAAAAGCTAAGGAACCGGATGGCTGGGAACCATCAAGTTATTGTTTGTCTCCATGTCATCCCCGCAGCCCCCACACCACCGACAGCCACCCCTTTGGGAAAACTGTCTGGGTGGTGAATCTCAAAAAATGACCCGCCAAAGTTCCGAAGGCCAGATCCTAAAAAACAACTCAGATCTCTCTGGCCGTTCCAAAGGGCCGCATAGCATTTCCCCCGACCATATGACCATGCTTCACAATGGTACCATTTTGGGATAGGTGCACCACCCATTTTAGTCTATGTTAGTGGGAACTCTCACTGGGGGTACGGGGTTTTGACCCATGACCATATCGGTGGCCTTTTGGAAAGAAGGATGGCACTGGTAAATGGAATAAAACCCATCTAAAGCAGTGGAACCCATCTATGTTTGACCAAACTAGCCGATGAAAAGGAGACCTAGTCTCCTAACATTTTTTTAAAAACCTCAGATGCCCAGTGGCCAATAGAAAAATTAGGGCACCCTTTTTTGGTTGGTTGACTTTAAAGGAACACCCTTCCGGAAAAAAAAAAAAAGGAAAGAAGGGCACCACTGGGCAACTGGCTTACAAAGCCTTGCTGCAAATTCGAGTCGCTTGGGGTGGCAGGCCGGTAATCTCCGCCAGATCTCGGGTGTTGTAGAATCGGCACCTGGCAAGCTGGTTGCTTCACGTCTGGCAGGCTCCACCTCTCTTTCCCTCCAGGAAGGGTCAGAAAAATACACAGCTCCATGCTCCAAGTCTACTCCACTGGAGTCACAAGAACTCCATGCCCCAAGACTTCAAGACAACTCTAGCACTAGCTTATCTAAGTGTCTATACCTGTGATTCAGAAAGCTACAACCCCGGTGTACGGGATTGCGAGGTCAATGCTCGGTACTATATGGTAGAGTGTATACATCGCATCACGGAAGGTCGCGCAAACACCACGGCCGCTCTTCAGGTGGATGGTGCCTCACTGGCAGAAGCATATATCTCATGGACCACTAGGGGGGGCGGCTATGGAGGGGGGGGCTATCCCGTATAAGATCCTGGGCTTGTTCAGAGATAGCCCCCATAGAGTTAGGGTAGGCCTTGCCCATCTTTTTGTGGTACCCGAGCGTGACCCCCACCCTACGCAAGAACAGCATTTTTCAACCATTTTTTCACTATTCAAATCGTCATCCTTATTCATTATGCATATTTCCACTCAAAACATTTCATAACAGTCTCAACCTCAAAATCCATCAAAAAAGTCACATTTTCTCATTTTCTATTCCATCATTCTTGTCATTGTTAGGATGCTTGAGTGGAAATAGAAGTATAGGGTGGTTCATATGATATGGTTATTGATGGTAGGATGCATGGGCAAGGCTAAGCTCATTCATAAAAAAAATATTGTTCAAAAAAAAAATATTTTTCAAAAAAAAATATTTTCAACAAATAATATTGTCAAAAAATAATATCTTCAAAACAAATAATATTTTCAAAAAAATAATATTTTCAAAAAAAAAGTAATTTTGCAAAAAAAAATATCTTCAAAAAAAATAATATTTTCAAAAAAATAATATTTTCAAAAAAAAAATAATTTTCCAAAAAATAAATTCGCAAAAAATATATTTTAAAAAATATTATTCCAAAAATTATGATAAATTATTTGACAATATTTTTTATCATATTTTTTTAGAAATATTATGGGCAAGGTTAGGTAGATAGAATTTTATAACTTAAGTTCAAACAACGCACTTTGAAAGAGTCAAGCAAATTAAGGAAAATTAAAATATTTCAATCTTTACAAACCATAAGTACAGTATAATTATAACATATAAGATTTTACATGTTATTATTATAGTATGATTATAAACATTATGGCAATGCGTTAAATCACCTCACGTAAAGTAAATCAGCGGTAAGCAAACGCAAATCAGCGGTAAGCAAACGCAAATCAGCGGTAAGCAAACGCAAATCAGCGGTAAGCAAACGCAAATCAGCGGTAAGCAAACGCAACTCAGCGGTAAGCAAACGCAACTCAGCGGTAAGAAAACGCAAATCAGCAGTAAGTTGCTTTGTTTTCTGGGTGATGACACAAAAGAGCAAACCCCAAACTCAATTATTAAAGATATTTAGATAATATTCTCTATGAATAAACCCCCGTATCTTCATCATAGTCAATTTGATAAAATGTCATAGTTGAAGCCTTCGGTTCTTTAATTTCTTTGTTATTAAGTTTGTTTAAATACGTTTGTTTCTTATTTTTATATTCACCATTGGTTCTATCTACTTCTTTACTTTGATAACTGTTTGTTAAAGGTTTCTTCTTTTCCATTTCTTGCAAGATTTCTAAAATATTCTTATTCTGTTCTAAAACCTTGTTCAGTTTTTTAACAATCTTTTCTAATCCTTCATCCATGTAAATATATATATTATATTATAAAATAAAACTTTTAAAACTAAACTTTTATTTTACAAAATCATATATCATTATAAGTCAATTCAAAATTAGTTATTGTGTAACTCGTTAAATTATTATTCAATTTACCAATTAAATTACAAATAATAGTTTTTCTAAATTTTGAATATTTATGAAACTTTTCAATATTATCTGTAATATAAATTATTAAACATTTAATACATTCAAACACATTAACAACATTAATGTTACTATTTTTGTAAATATTATTCATTTTTCTCAATGTAATTTCATAAAACTGAATAGCATTTTTATTATCATAATTAGCAATAAATCTTAAAGTATATGAATATATTCTTTTACAATAGAATTTTAAATCTGATTGTTCAAATAAATCAGCATAATTAATAGAATTATAAAACATGTTAAAATCAATTTTGCTATTTCTAAAGTCATTAACAAAATTAATTAATATATCATTTTCGTTATATTCTTCAATAAAATTATTCAATTTCAATTCTTTTACATCAATGAATTTAATAATATTATTTATAACATCTTGCATTATAAATAATAATAGAAATAATTTTAACTATTATTCTTCATCGTTTCGCGTATAGTTTCCTGAGTTTCCTTATCACCATTATCGGATGGCGATGCATGCCGTCCCCATTTGATAGCAATATTATGAACATCTGTTTCTAAGTTGATACTGTCTTTAGTTTTATCAATATTCATTTTTTTTATCATTCTTACTTATTTTGAAACTGGTCGGAATACAGGAACATTTACAGTTTCCTTTCTTTTGTATTTCTAATTCATTCTTCATTTCTAAGATTTTTTTACACATTGGACAAGCAAACTCAATAACTGATGTTTCTTTAACAATTTCTTCATCAGTCGAAGAAACAACTGGTTCAGTCTTGTTCTTTTTCTTTCTTCCCATCTATATTAATATTTATATTTTTAATATATTGTATCACAAACTTAATTATTTCTAAAACAAAATAGCATACTTTTTTGAATCTATTATCAGTTATAACAACTTGTTCTAAATTCTCTACTTCATCTATTATATCAATATAATCTGAATAGCTTCTATTCATATAAAATAATAAATATAAAATATTTTCTAAATAACTTTAATATTATTTTATTATGTCAGATGTTCCAATAATAAAGCCAATAAACATAACTGAATATGAATTCAAACAATCTAAATATGAGCACGTGCCAAAATTACCATTTAGAAGTATTATAGTTGCGAGTTCGACAGGCGGTAAGACTGTCCTTATTCAAAATTTAATATTGAATGTTTATAGAAATTCATTTGCAAGAATATATATATTTTCACCCAGTGTTCATAACGATCCAACCTTTACAGAAGTTAAAAAGTATATTAGGGATGAACTACATGTAGATGATGAAAAAGAACAAATGTATTTTGACAATTACAATCCAATTGATATAGAAAATGTAATTGAAAGACAGAAGAAAATTATTAACTATATGAAGTCTAAAAAGATAAAGAAACTACATTCAATATTAATCGTGATTGATGATTTCAGCGACGACCCCAAGTTTTTAAGATATTCTAAAATATTACACGGTTTATTTACAAGAGGTAGGCACGATGCAATCAATGTTATTTGTTCTTTACAAAAATATAAATCAATCGCAAATATAATTCGTGTTAATGCTTCTTCACTATACATTTTCAGACTCAAAAACATTACAGAACTAATGAGTTTTATTGAAGAAAATAGCGCCATTGTTGATAAACAGCAATTATTAGATATGTATCATCAAGCCGTTAATGACACACCTTATAGTTTCTTCTACGTGAATATGAATGCTAAAGACATTAACAAAATGTTTCATATCAGATTTGAACAGGCATTTCAAATTACAAATGATGAATAAAGATATTCTAATTTAATATAATATGCTAATGAAACTATGTAGATGTGGTGGATTTTATCGTAGAGGTAATTACAATTTTCATACTAATTCTTGGATACATAAACTTTATAAAGTGTTAAAAGACGACCAACAGACGAGGAATTATTAAGATTTCAAAAAGAATTTTGTTGATGAAGAAGATTTAATAGATGATATGTGTAGCAACGCCTCAACAAAATTACCCGAAAGTGAAATGACAGATTATGATAGTAATTAATAATATTAATGTATGTTAATATTATCAATTTAGAATAAAGAATAGCTACATAAATTTAAGGCAGGAAATTTATAATATGTTTTATCTCTTTTACATTCATTAGCTTTTTCTAATTTATTTATTATTGCTTTCAATGAATTTATTTGTAGAATATCAATTCTTGACATTTCACTTATCGTATTTACATCTATATCTTTTATTACTTTAATAGCCTCTTCATCATCAATTTCTACTGGCTTTGATTTACTTGAACCCATTATATATTATTTAGATTTTAATTTTTCAACATTATATTTTTGTTTTTCTTCTCCGTCTTCTTCTTCTTCGTCTTCAGTTGGTGCTGGTATTTCTGTTGGACTTTCAGATGAAGAACTATGAACAGTAATAGGTGGCGAACTATGAACACTAATAGCTTCATTTGATGAATTGCTACTGCTACCTTGTGCATTTCCTGCTGTTATTTGATTAACTAAATCTGCGATATTTATTGTTGTTGCAATTGCGCTATGTGATAAGTTTAATATTATATCTGCTACTGTAGCGCCGTTGTGTAGCATTATTTCTATCATTTTTGTCAGTTTGAACTTCTTTTCTTCTTCATCGCTGTCCTCCTCGTCTGGTGGTTTCTTTGGCGGTGGTTCTGGCGGTTTGTTGTTGTCAAGCATTGTAGTAAAGGCTGACACCATTGCGTCGCGTTGGTTTTTCAGTGTTTGTGTTGCTTGCGTTCTTGTTGGTTCATGTCTTTTGCATGCGTTGTGCCAAAAGTTTTTAAGCATTATTTTAAACATATTGTCTTGGTTTTCCTTTACCTTAAACGCTTCAAATGTCATATTTAATTGCTGATTTGCATCATTGTATAACTTTTCTTGAGTCTCTCTGGTTTCTGTGGCGATTGTATCTGTATTGGTTGCAATGTCAATAAATTCTCTCGGTATGCCCTTTTTCATCATTTTCGGTGGTTGTGTTGTTGTTGGTGTGTTTGGTTTTGTTAGGTTATGTATTGAAAAAAAACTGTCGTCGTGATCATAATTATCATTGAACTTCTGCTTCATTCTTTTCGGTATATTTTTAGTTAATATAATCA